GAATCGACCAATCCAATTTCGATGTTAAAATTTTGGATCTGATTCAATTCAATTACCATTGGACATCAATTCTAATTAGATCGATCGGTTTATATTAGATCAGATAACTTTCTGCATGCTCCATCTGATATAGTCAATTTTGACATGTTGCTCACTAAGAAATTAACATTTATTGATAAACAAGTTGTATACCTAGTGTGTGTGTGTGTATATATATATATAACATAATAGGCTCTTGTCAGCTTACATCATGATTTTTAGTATTTTACGATGTTATTATAAATAAAATATTCTATTACTATGCTATCCGATAGAACATGTTAAACCAAATATTTTTGATATAAAACATTTGCCATGAATAAAGAATGATGTCTTATTTGTAAAATCATTAATTAACGTTAGTCTGTTTATATAGTGTATATGTTGAACTGGTCATCAAAGAAAGAGTCACTATAAGATGTTTTCATTTTCATTGCAACCAGGTGCGCTCTAAACAGTGCAATAAGGGCACTGATAGCATGGTTCCCTTGGTCAGAACCAGTATGGAATCGATTCAATTAACTAGCGGATTAGAACATCTCCGACGACTTCTCTTAAATAGACAAAAAAAAAATGAGTTTTTGTTCTCTGAAATACCCCAACAGTTTTGATATATTGCTCTAGAGAAAACTTTAGACATAGATAATTATTTAGAACTTGATAGAGAAAAAAAGAAATAATTATTTTATTTAATTCCATCAATAAAATTGAATTATTATTTTTTATAAAAGGTTATTAAAAAAGTGTACTGAGATGAAAGTAATTCTTATTAGAAAATTGACGTTTTGGATTTCTATTTTTAAAAATTATAAAAAAATCCATTTCGCTATTTGGATTTTGCCTAAAAAAATAATTTAAAATAAGAAAAAGGATGATAAAAGGAAGCCAAAAAACCTACACCACGTGTATGACTCAAGGGAAACAACACTAACCAGGTTCTTGCCGTCGACAATGACATATGACCTACCATTATAAACAAAATTGATAGGCAAAAGCAATATACATATATATATATATATATATATATATATAGCAAATTTTCAATTCAAAAAAATTTGTTGAGGATTTATTCAATCACATAGTTTGGGCTCCTAGAATATGGCGCTCTAGTTTACGGTCAGATGAATGAACCGTCGGGAGCTCGTATGAGAGTTGGTTTGATCGGGATAGCAGACCAAAAGCTATGGATATTTATTCGAGATGTGAGTAAAACTCAAATTGGAGAACGTGAGAAGCAGATGATTAATCATCTGCTTCCGGAAGAAATCGAAAATCTATGTTGAATCACCATTTAGCGGGGCTAATAGTTTTGGTATGTTGGGGGATATCATTATTGCCGAACCCAATCTTATATATATATATATATATATATATATATATATATATGAATACTAAAGGCTACTCATGTAATAAATCGAGATATATTTTTGTTTTAATATTTTATTTTATTTTTTATCTATGTCAATATAATACGATTTTATGTGGTTTTGAGAAAGCGATAATGTTTTATTTTTGAATAAAATATAAATTTAAAAATATCATATAAAATTTGCAAAAAATATATCAATATTAGTATCAAATTATTTAATTAAAAGTTCTTGTTTGTTTATTTTTTTTTTTAATTCAATTTTTTTAGTATAATTTAATTTAATGTAACGAAGTAACTTAATCTAGGTTTAATAATATTTTTTTTATAAAGATAATAATTAAGTATTTTGTTGGAACTTAATAATTATCATAATTATATTTTAGATTTTTTATATTTTAAAATGAGATGTTTATTCTCAGTTAGTTATACGAATTCAAACATAGAGCTTTAATAAGTTGTACTTATGTACAATTTATTTGTAATCTTGAATTTTAAGTAATATGTATTAATAAACAGTACTTTATGCATAAAAAAATGTTTTTAAAAGTTTTTGTTAAAAACTTTATAATATAGTATAGATAATATTCTTATTATTAAATAAATAATTATTTTCAAATCATAACTGAAAATTAAATTGTCTTCAATTTATTCTTTTTAAAATAGATCAATTAATTTTGAGATTTATTAAGATTGTAAGTATTTTGTTGTTTATTTGTTTAATCGATATTGTATTTGCAAATGATAACAGAGGTTTCTAAAAATTCATTCAAAGAATAAAATTAATGGATTTTATATATATTATGTTTGAAAAATTAAAAGTTTTAAGAAAAGACCCTAAACATTGTGTAATATATATATATATCTATACTATTTTATAAAGCATTTGACTAAAACTTTTAAAAACTCTAAAAACTCTTAAAATTCTTAAAAACTCTTAAAACCGTTTATTCCTAAACGATTTCATCCCTATCTGATTTAATCCTATATCTGAATTCGTGTAACTAACTGCAGATAAACACAGTCAAATACAGGATAAACATCTCATTTTAAATATAAAAAATCTAAAATATAATTAATATAATCATTAAATTCTAACAGTATACTTAATTATTATCTTTATAAAATTTATAATATTAAACCAAAAATAAATTGTTTTATTATTAAATTTATATTAAATTATATATAAAAAATATATATTTTATATTATAAATCATTTGACAAAAACTCTTGAAAACCATTTTTTATGCGTAAAGTACTGTTTATTAATGCATATTACTTAAAACTCAAGATTACAAGTAAATTGTGCGTA